TTTGCTGCTCACTTTATCATTTAGATAATCTATTGCGTTTTATAACCATGGTTGAACGTTATAACTAAAATAACTTTTCGACCAAAAAGTTGATCGGTTATAACTCAAAAGTTATAACGAGAGTTATAACTTCACCATTTTTAACTCCCACACTGGTGGACATATATAAGTGACTAAAATGGACTGATATACAACGCCCTCTTTTCTATTATGCAGGCAATGTATCGATTTAATGCAATGGAGAAAAAAATGTGTCTGTAGATTATCTCATCTCAACCTACCTCTATTATTAAGTCGGCTGACTGCACAAAGTGCAGAAGCCGACTTATTGCTTTCAGTCGTTTGGTTGTCATAGCAAATTCTTCTTCTTCTTCTTTTTCTTCCGTACGCTGAGTTACGATTTAAGTCAGCCACTCGTTCTCAGTACCTAAACAGCTGATAGTTTCCTTTTATGGCAGTGCATGATTCAATCTTAGATCACCATTCATATGTAAGATGTCAAATCCATATATATTTTAATTATCGTCTTACATGGCTTAAATTCGTCCATGAAAGAGTCTCAAACGTTTAGAAAAATCTCTTCATGGTTTAAACAGATGAAATACGAAGAACAATACTGAACAGCTGAGAGCTTCCTTATATGGAACTTTATGACTCAGATTCATTATGATTTCGTCTACACGCGTCTTGGGTTTAGAAATAGTAGATGTCGTATAGGATCAGATTTCGATGTTTTTTGGGCTCGTGCAGTCAGCCGACTTCTCTACCCGGCCTTGGGTCGGGTGGAATTCTAGTTTGCTATTGCTTTTCAAATTTTAAGCGTGATATATGATGTTCAAGTTCATTTATGAGTTTTCCATACATTTTTATAATTCATTTTCTTGTTTAGATTTCAAATTGAACTATTTCTTTATAATTGGTATCATTATGATTATTAATATGAAACAAAAATTCATGGAGGTATTGCCTAAATCTGCACCAGAAGGTTTTATGAATTATTTAAACAGCTTAAACGAAAATGATTATATAATAAGTGTACCAATAAATGATACTCGAACAACTACAACACAAGCATCATTAATTGAAAATGATACAATCAATGAAATTGATCAAATGATCGATGAAATATATTTGAAATATATGCGTATAAATCATTTAACTGAATCAGAAAAGAAAAGTATAGAAACGATGATCACTAATTTACGTAATTTAATTATGAAATTTATTAGTTCTTTAAATGAACATATTAATTCTTTAAATGAACATATTTGTACTTTGAATGATGAGATAGTTAATTTAAAAAAAGGAATGCATGCTGTTGAGCAAAAAGAATCGGCATTAAACGTGTTAATATTATTTCAGAAATACTGTCTCCTTTAAAAGGAAATATTTTTCGAGAAATGTCAAGAATTAATACTCCATCAGATTATTACAATGTAAATGTATTAAAATCGTTGTATTGGCTGAACAAAGGTGATATTACTTCTGCCAATTTTTATCTAAATGTACACAAAATGAACAACGATTTTGTTGAGCAAGTATTTAATTCATTACAAAATTTTATTCGTTCATTTAGTACTAGTGAAAATATTAGTTATGATACCTTGTTAGTTTTATTAATTGAAAAGGAAAAGCGAAATTTCGAAGAACATTCAATAATTACAAATTTTATTAGAGATAGTTGTCAAACAAATGATTCAAGATTAACATCTTTACTAAGACAGCAAAATTTGCTATCTGCATTTCAATTAACGGAAATTGACGTAATCGACAAAATTTACACAAAATATTTTCGTCGTTTAACTAATCACAGTTAAGAAAAAAAACTCATTTACCTTTTTTATTGTCATATTTTTTTTTCCTATTTTTTTGTTCTTATTTCTAATAAACATTCATGAGCTGATTAATTCCACTTCGAATATAAATGGAAATCTGACGAGGAAACCTTTCCAGGTGATACCCTCCTTTCACCTTCATTCTTACATTAGTTTTTAGAGATTGCAATGTCTATTATTTATTCTCTAATTATTTTATTACAACATGACAGCCTTTATTGTGATACTCAACTTTATATATACGGTGTTTGACAAGGCCGAAAGTAGATAGCAAAGCTCAAGTAAATAAATTTGAATAAAAAAGTGATGATTGAAGTTGTAGAGTTTTTCAATTTTTTTTTTATTCGAAAATTCTTTGTGTCTAGAAAACATTTCCAACTGAATATCTTCCATGTATTTTTCTACCAGACACTTTACTCTGCCTTAAAAAAAGACAATAATGATGTCTCTACAACATTCCGTGACAGTGATGTATTCAAAATAAAATTAATGCAAAATTTTTACATTATTGGTTAATATATAAACATAAAATACTCATTACTATAAATAACATTCTGTAATACATTGGACCTCAAATAATCTTTTTAAAAATTTGTCTTGCCTTTCCATCAGATATATTTAATTCATTTTCTTTCAACATAATCTTGCAAGTGAATCATAATCAATGGCGTACTTTTCTATACATATTCACAACTTATGTTATTGAAACGCACTAATGACATAGAACTTAAGAACATTTGTTCATTTTCTCTATTATAATAGAAAGCGAAGTTAGCCTTTCGCCATTTTTTAGAAGATCTTACTTCCTATGATGCATGCATGGAAAATAAACATACATACCGAGCATCGTATCATATTTTAGGTATATCTGGAATGCTATACTGACGAAGAAAATACGCATGTATATATTGCACAACACTAGCAAACGCTGGCAGACTCAATAGAGTCTAGTAGACTTCAATACGAAGTTGTATAAACGCCAATATGTCCTGGTACACCTCACTAAACTCTGATAGATATTGTTTGAACTTAATAGAATTGATAAAACTCAAATATGTCTGCATAAATTTTAAAAATAAATTGTTTTTATAAAATGTAAAATGTAGAAATTTTGAGACGATTTATGATTCTTTTTTTCTCATGAATTCACTGTTCGACTTGAAATGATTGCTTCTTTTAGGTTTTATAATATCGAAAAATAACATTTTGTCATCTTTATTCAATGAAATATTAAGATTGACTGATAAAAACTATCCCAAAAAGCTTCTAGATCATAAATCCAGTTTTTAGTTTCAGTTTCATTAACGACGGATTATTCTCGAGTAGAGGTAACAAAACAAAATCATGTTTTCCTTAGTTATTAAAAAAACATTTCTTATAAAAATTCATATATTTTAAGCGACTAATAAAATCAAATAGATTTTTTCTTTTATTTATGATTTTATTTGATTTCTCTTACTAGTGCAAAATCATAAAATTGATGATGCTTATCGTTTGTTTTCCAGAATCATCAACAAATCAAATCCAATGTATGCAGCTATGTTTAAAGATTCATATTATTTTATTCTAATCATCTATTTATGAAATATTTATTAATGAATGATTAGGTTTTATTACTAATCGAATACCAGAGAAAGCGTTGGATTTATTCGATAGAATGACTATTGAACTTGATCATGTTACTCTTATTGTTCTACTTGATGTATGTGCTCAACTTGCAAATGATCGAGCTAAAACAATTGGAAAAAACTTCTTCAACAAATTTTTAACAATTATCCAAATACCAACATCGTATTTAATATAGCAATAGACATGCTGATGAAGTTTGGTGATATAAAAAAATCTGAAAATATTTTTGATTTGATTAAAAGTAACGATAATTTTACTTGTGGTGCATCGATGAAAGGTACCGATTTATTAAATAATTTTCTAATATTTTTATATTAAATTTAGGATATGTTGAAAACGAACAATATGAAAAAGTATTGGATTTATATGAACAAATAAATGTCAAACTACATGATATCATTCATATAATAGTTTTAAATGCATGTGCTGGATTGTCGAATTATCGAGTTATGAGTATTGAAAAACAAATTCTTCAAAAAGTCTGTGATAAATGGCAAAATAACAAGATTATATTAACATCAGGAATAGATATGCTTATGAAATTTGGTAATGTGAACGAAGCTGAATATCTTTTTCGATCGATTCAAAAGAAAGATATCATCGTTTATGGTGCTATGATGAATGGCTACAATATGAACTATCAACCATTAAAATGTTTTGAACTTTTTGAAGAATTGAAACAAAATTTGGTTCCTGATGAAATCATTTTCAAGATGCTTATTGGTAAATGTGCACAAATTGGTTTACTTTCAAAATATGAAGTTATATTTAATCAAATTCCTTCACATATGCAACATCAACAACGTATACAAAATGCATTGATCAATATGTGGGTAAGTGCAATTAATACTTTTGAAAGGAAAAATGTTCTTTATCGATCAACGAATATTGACTTAAACCTAAAGCTTATTGAAAATATAGATGAAATTAGATTCTTTTTTTTTGTGCTTTTCTATGTTAACTTCAAAATTTGAGTATAGGAGTGAAGAGCACGCCCATTGTACCGTTTGGTCTGGAAAAGAAAAGCGCTCATAAGTCGAGTTCTACTCAACCGATTTTAATATCGTTTTTTATTTTACTGGTCTAAGAGTAGTCATTCACTTCTGCAAAAATCAAGTTTCTCGCTGCTTTGGTTTCCGAGAAATCATGACAACAATATCAAATAACTAGCTTTGCAACGCTGTCTAGCGGAACGGAAGCATTTGTTTTTATTACTGTTTGATTTTTTTTCAACCGTTTTGCAGCTAGACTTGTAGAACTCGTCGCGAGCTTTCAGAGTATGTCATTGGTTTTAGCTCTACAGAAAGTTTT